CTTTTTCGGTCTCTTTTTCCATCCAAGTTTTTCTTTACCGTCCCCGTCGCATTTTCCACGTGTCTGTTCGATTGCTCCCTCTATGTGGCGACTTTCCAAACTTGTGTCCGCTTTTCAATTTCCTCCTTTATCTCTTTGCGTGACGAGATGTGAGATCTTGCACAATTTGTCTCACTGCCGGACCTTTAATTTCCTCCTCTTCCTGTTTTCTTTGTCCCTTCACGCTGTTTGTTTGCAATTAATTCTGAGTCGCACATAAGTGCCTCCATTGTTCTGACATCCTTCTTTCCTTGTGGGAGCCCAACCTTTCTAATCGTTCACGCTGTTGTAGTTGCTCTAAATGTTACATTACGTCATACTCAACCTTCCGACACCCTGCGTTTTGCAAAGCGTATTTTCTGTGATGCTCCTCACGTCAGATTCACTTGCCATCCTGGCAGACACCGTTTCTCCAAATAGATCTGATAGCTTCGCAAAATCGCATATGCGTGGGAACTGCTTACATGCGAACGCACGAAGATAGCATATTAGGGTAGCATGATCCTTTCAGACTCTTCATTATACTTCCGCTTTGTGGTGGAAGCAGGGTTAATTTGTTTTCAGGGCAACAGTACTTGAGGGGGCCAGGGATTAACCCATTGGCGACATTGCGGGTCGATGTGGGGACGCAGCATAGAGATAATTCTTCTACGCAAGATTTTTAAAATTATTATAATGGCACATTAATCAGGAAGGCGTTGTAGTACTTATGGTAATCGTGGCCCATGCATATCTTTCCTAAATAATGTTTTACATAAGCGGTGCTTAAAAAGTGATTTTTTAAAGCAAGGCTTGTTATTTTTAAGTGTATACGGCTGGCTTCTTGCTTTCAGTTAGCTAGAGGGCTGGTACAACTTCTCACTAGAAGAGAACGGGATTCGACCCTATTTGCCAATTCTGGAGTGGAAAATTGAAGTTCTCCTCGCTTGCTCCGAAATCCACCCTGGGCCGAACGAAAAGATTTACGCTCATTTCGGGTGCGATCGGGAAAGTTTTGAAACGTGCAAAGTCTCAACAGTGTCTGCTTTGAGATTCAACATTTTTGGTGCCAGTAGTTTGGTGCATTACGACGCATTTTTCGAAAATATAAAAATCGCATTGTCGCCAATGGGTTAATGGGTACCGCCCGCTCAAATTCATACATATTCATATTTTTATTCAAATTCATGAAATGTGCTGCGACTTTTTGCCATAGATAGAGGGACGGATACTCTTTCTTACAAAAAGATCTGCTTCTTAATTTGCCATTTTGTTGACTGCTCTTTTGGCTGAATTTCGCGATACGAATGCTATCACAAGGATGCTGGTTGATATGCAATACAGTTCGCCCCGGGGAAGATCCTGCAACCGTTATTTACTTGGTACTGCTGCTACCGATAGCGCCAATGAAGATTAAGCGAGACAGTCTCTTTCAAAAACCAAAGTCAAAAACCGTAGCACTCAACCTGTCGGTTTTCTAGCACCCCTAAAGCACTTAAAGGAATCTTCCACGGACCATGGACCAGTGGGCGGGACCGGAAGTTTTTGTGACGAAATGCATGGTAGGTACGGATCCACGTGTCGAACGCACGAACGTGAACAAG